CAGCGGTGTGCAACCATCACCACGATCCATCTCTGGAATTTTTTTCCATCTTCCCAAATTGACGCTCTGGCCCCACTAAATACTAACTCCCCTTTCTCTCCTCCACCCAGTCCCTGGCACCCGCTGTTCTACTTCCTGCCTCTGAGTTTGTCTGCTGTGGGCACCTCATAGAAACAGAATCATTCAGTGCACATGTCCTTCTATGACTGGCTCCCTCTCAGCACTGTGTTCTCCAGGTCCGTTGTGCCGCAAGGCTGGATAATATTTCCTTGTAGGGATGGACCACATTTTGTCCATCCATCCATTCATCATTGGACACTTGGTTCCTCCTCTTTTGGCTGCTGTGAAGACCTGGCCTGTGAACATGGCTGTACAATTTGCTGGAGTCCCTGCGTTCACATTTCGGTCACTGAACAGATGCTGTTTGCCGCGTTTCCTGAGCAGTCTGTTTACCTTTCTCTTTCCACCAGTTGCCGTGCAGACCGTCTACCTGCAACAGCCTGTCTCCTTTTTTGACCACCCTGTTCAGATGTGTTGTCCTTCCTGCAACAAGATGATCGTGACTCAGCTGTCCTACAATGCTGGTGCCCTGACCTGGCTGTCCTGTGGGAGCCTGTGCCTGCTGGGGTGAGTCTGCTGCAGCCAAGCTGCGGGGCCCTCCTGTCCTTGACTCTGGGTGGGGGAGGGGATTCTCAGCTGCACCGTGATTGACACTCCGGCCACGTGATGGGGAGCGGTCCTTTGTACCCTAGGATGTTGGGCAGCATCTCTGGCCTCCACACACTTGATCCGGGAGCACACTTCTCCCCAGTTTTGTAACCCAAAATGCCTCCAGTTGAGAACCACTGCACCTGGAAATCACTGTTACTGTCCTCTCTCCCTGCTTGTCTGCTGAAACATCTCCCTGTGTGTAGGTGTGAGCTTAGCAGCCATGTGTGTCTTTGTAGGGCGATAGCTGCACAGACGTCTTTTTCTTCTAGAATTTCATGACCAAAATAATAACATTTGCTTGACTCTGAGAGAAGCCTTAAACAGTCTGTATGTTAAAATTCTTTATAATAATCTCCCAAAACAACTTAGCCTTTTATGACCTCAAGTATTTTTGCCACGGCCCATACAAGGTAATTACATAAATATTTATGTCTGCACCATGGGTGTTTAAAGAGATAACATAGTTTCTGTTCTAGGGGAAAAATTTGAAGAAACACAATTGAATTTGTTTTCCCCACTCCGATTAAGAAAGCCTCCTTATTCCTGGCTTTGGGAGCGACTCAGCAGACCCAAAAGGCTCCATTCTTTTCCTTCAAGGAAACTGTATCTGTGAGTTTCCTTGCTGGTGACTTGAGGTCGAGAAGGAGCAATATTTCTTTTCCTAACTTCAAAGAGAGGATCAAGGCCCCAGAGAGCTTAATTAACTTCCTTAAGGTCATGCACTAAGTGGGAAGAGAAAAACCAGTCTCGGCACCTGATTTCCCCTCTTTCCCTTAGGACTGTGCTTCACTGGGGGGTGGTGGTAGCTCAGGCCTGTAATCCTGAAGTGGGAGTTACTCAGGATTCTCAGTAACTGAGTTACTCAGTTACTCAGTTACTCCTTGAGCTCAGGAGTTTGAGACCAGCCTGAGCAAGAGTGAGACCCCCATCTCTACTAAAAATAAAAAAATTACCAGGGCATAGTGGCGGGTACCTGTAGTCCCAGCTACTCAGGAGGCTGAGGCAGGAGGATCACTTGAGCCCAGGAGTTTGAAGTTGCTGTAAGCTAGGCTTATGCCATGGCATTCTAGCCTGGGCAGCGCAGAGTGGGACTCTTGTCTTAAAACAAACAAACCCGAAAAAGTTCATTGTCTTTGATTTATTTTTAGTTTTGAGACAGTCTCACTCCATTGCCCTGGTTAGAGTGCTATGTCATCATAGCTCAGACTCAGACTCTTGGGCTCAAGTGACCCTCTTGCCTCAGTCTCCCAAGTAGTTGGGATCATTGATGCCCACCATAATGCCCCACTAGCCTTTGGACATTTGTATTAAAACTGAATTTTACCTTTGAAATCAAGGAAAGACAGAATAAAAACTTAGATTGAGTGTTGGCCTCTGCTCATATGGCAAGCTTTCCGTCCTCTTTTGTTCCTTCCTTAAACGCAGTCGAGTTGGCTCAGAGTCTGCCTCTCACTAGCTGCGTGACTATGCATAAGAGACTTCACCTCTCTGTGCTCCCATTTCCTCAGCTATAAACTGAACGTAATAACACCCACCCCAGAGGGTTGCCCAGGATAAAATAGAAGTATGTATATGTGTATAAGACAGTTTAGGGTTATTGTTGAGGTGACTAGCTACCCTCATTGAACTCTGGAAAGCTTAGGCAATAGGAGGAAATTTGTTTTATGAGGTGGTTTCCTCATCAGAGTGTTTCCAGATTCTGCTTTATGTAAATCATCGGTTTCTTGTAAAATGTTGAATTTTAAGTATGTTTTTGGCAAATGCTAATTGTAAGTCTGTGTGATGTTCCTGCCTGTGTATGCCCCTGATGGGTTAGGTAGGTTGAAGGGTATTATTTGGGGGAACTTTATTTGGTTGCTGTAAGAGTCAGCCTTTCCATAAGGAAAAGAGATCAGCAGGACAGGGCCCTGGGGCCGCATCTAAATACACACCTGTTATTAGAACAGGGCCGTGTCCATTTGTTTATGGATTCTCTGGGATTGTCTTCTCACTACGGGGTGAGGCGGGGACGGGGCGGGGGGGTGTTGCTGAGAAGTCCAAACAGAGACCCCATGGCCCATCAGGACTAAAGTCTGTACTCTCTGGCCCTTTACAAAAAAGTTCATGAACTCTAATCAAAGACTTTGAGAGATTCCTAAGTGACACAAGATTTGGAAATGTACCCAGGGCAGTGTGTCTCAGGGAGGAGACTTGGCGTCAGTTGGTGTATTAGTTTTCTTAGAGCTGCCATGAGAAACCACTACAAACTGGGTGGTTTACAAAAGCAGAAGTTTATTCTGTCACGGTTCTGGAGGCCAGATGTCCATAATGGAAATGTGAACGGGCCCTGCTCCCTCCCCCAGAGACTCTGGGAGAGAAACTGCCTTTGCTCTTGCTGTGTCTGGTGGCTGCAGGTGTTTCTTGCCTTGTGGCCACGTCCCTGCAGTCCCTGCAGTCCCTGCCTCCATTTTTACACTGCCTTAGAACCTCCCTGTGTCTGTATGTCTTTTTTTTTTTTTTTTTTTGAGACAGAGTCTTACTCTTGTCACCCTGGATAGAGCACCATGGCCTCAGTTTAGTTCACAGCAACTTCAAACTCTTGGGCTCAAGCAATCCTCTTGCCTCAGCCTCCTGAGTAGCTGGGACTACAGGCAGGTGCCCACCACAAGACCCAGCTAATTTTTTCTATTTTGTAGAAGAGATGAGGTCTCAATCTTTCTCAGGCTGGTCTCAAACTCCTGAGCTCAAGCACTCCACCTGCCTCAGTCTCCCAGTGTGCTGGGGTTGCAGGTGTGAGCCCCCATCCTCTTCTGCTTCTAAGGCTACCGGTCACTGGGTTTAGGGGTGCCCACCTGGATCATCCAGGATGATTCCATCTAGAGATAGAGTATGTTGGAAAGATCTTTTTACAAATAAGGTCACATCCCCAGGCTCCTGGAGTTGGGACGTGGACACACCGCACATCCTGCTGCGTCAGTAACGGCTCCACACGTGCCTCTTTCTCTTTTCCCAGGTGCATTGCAGGCTGCTGCTTCATCCCCTTCTGCGTGGACGCCCTGCAGGATGTGGACCACTACTGTCCCAACTGCAAAGCTCTCCTGGGCACCTACAAGCGTTTGTAGGACTCAGCCGGACGTGAAGGGTGCCGGGTGCTATAGGAAGTCCCTTCCGACTCTCATCCAGCCCCACCCCTGGTGGAGGTTCTGCTCTCGTGGTCTCAGCTTTCCAGGGGACCTACCTTCATGTCTTCCTTTGGGGGGAAAATGTCACAAAACTAACAAACCTCCAAACCCCAGACATTGCTGCTTGGAGTTGTGCACAGGACATGTAAAGACATTCCCCCTGAGTGCTGGCTCAAGGGGCTCCTGCCTACCCGTGGCCCCGAGTCATGCCATCTAACTGTGATTATTGCCCTTCTGAATACCCTCCTGTGATTCACCAATGGTTGGCTTCTTTACCTGCCTCATTTGGCCTTTCTGCTGGTCTCAAACTGAGAAGCCACAGGTTGCCTTGTTTTTAAGGCTGTTCTGCCCTGAATGCGGCTGAACCAGCCTTCAGTGCCTACTGTCTTATCCACCTATTCCCACCCCTGATGACAAAAATCTTGCCTTATAGATTTTATGGGCTTGGCTTTTAAATTCTGTAATTGCAGACTTCATTAGCACATGTACTCACTTTAATTTAAAAAAAATTTTTAAGGACAAGGAGAGGCTATGAACACCAGTAGACACATGGCCACCAGGCCACCAGGGCATGCAGGGCTTTGCCATCGCTCTGCCTTCCCTGTGTCTTTGTGCCAGATCCTCAGCACCGCCTCCCTCCATAGGGTTGTTGTTTTAACAATTTTTTTAATGTCCTTTAGGTCTTAAACACCTTTGGCCATAATTATGAAAGGCGGGCCTTGTGAAACCATTCTCTGTAACCATGCGATGCTGTGGTCTTCCCATTTGCCAGTGCACTCTCACTTTGTTGCTGTTAAAAGATAAAAGAAATGGATAATTTCATTTACTGCCTTTCCTTGGGGTTAGTGTGGTTCTTCAAAACCTCCGTCATGGAACTGAAAACGCAGTGGAGTTTGGGTTCCCAGTGGCAGGTTTAGGAAGTTGAGGGAAGGCGCACTTGAGCGCCTGTGAGTCCCATGGTGCTGGAACACTTGGAAACCGGAACTGTTTCAAAGGAATTTAGAGTCTGATCTTATTTTTTGGAGACACAGTTTGTTGTATGACATGGGAAGACATGATTTCTAGGACTCGAGCAGCAGGCCCCAAAGTTCTAGGCTGGCTGCTGTGTCTTCTTTGAAATCAAGACAAAGCTGGGCTTGACTTTCAAGCCTCCTGGTTTTGATATAAATTGGCACGGGAGGACTCATGTGAATACTGTTATGTAGGAATAAAACTTAGACCTTGAACGAAAATCTGTATATTGGTTGAAAATGATAGTCATAACCATTGATTTATGTTATTCACTTGACGTTTTGAAAATTCCAGTAATTATTTTTTTTGCAATGAATATGGACACCACACAGTACTTTGGTGTTTATGTGTTTTTTAAAAATAAAGTCTTTGGTTCACTCAGTGAACTATTTATCAATTCTTCTGGTGTGAAGAAAGGTCTCATGTTGTGTTTCCAGCCGTTGCTACAAAGGACCTTTATTTGCTCCATAACGGCAGAAAATCCTTCCTGATAAAAACTTCAGACTTGCTGAATATCCTTCAATGTCAAGAAGACCGAGGCTGAGTTGGGTAGATTGCTAACAAGTCAGATTTGAACATTAGGCTATTGGAACCCAATAGGCGTCATCGGTGGCAGCAAGCCATAGCTTTCAAGTTTTAATAAAATGCACAGAAGAAAGCTGTCCTCATTCATTCTTGAAACAAAACATGCTTTGTGAGAAGCTAAAAGGGGGGTATTGTAACATGCCAGGAATATGGCCGCCACTCTCCCCACCCGCCTCCTACCTGATCATACAGCTTCATTTTGTAAGGTGCAGGAAAATAATGTCATCTTGGTGTGGCTTACATTGTTATTTAAACCCAAAATTATGATCTTTAAAAAATTGCTGCTCTCTAGATCCTGATTGCATGGTTTTTCTTAACACTTGACAGAATTCAAGATCATGCATATTTAGCAGTTTTGCTCAGATGGTGGTATATAAATGATCTCAAGCTGTTATTAATTACATATGCAAAGTCTGTGAAACAAGAGTCCCATTTCAAGGACTGAAAAACATAGATTATGTAGAACTTTAACGTCAGACGCCTGGAGTGAAAGCCTGCATTGGAGATTCCTTTTACTGTTCAGAGCATGAACTTACTCATACATTTTTGCAAATTGAAAGGCTCTTTTGTCCTGCCACTGTTTCTTGGGGACTTTGGAGTCAGGTTAGTCTGTTGCAAGCACTGGATCACATTCAGTTAATAAAGGGCGTTATACCTACCTGCTGGACCTCAGAGAAGTTTACCAACTTCAACCCCCAAAGTGGCCCTGTGTCCTATGTACTGTTCATCCATCTAGGCAAGGTGGCCTTGCAGTAAGTGTTGGTTTGTGTCTTGTTAATAAAAAGTGTTCAGCCATCAGCTCTATTTAAGCCAACTTTAAGCACAGATTCCTTACTAACCTCAGCATTACCCATGAAAATGTTTTCTCTAGGACAACTGGTTTCCCAGTTGCTACCGGTGGTTACTGAACTATTTGTAAATGTAGCTTCATCTGCACACAATTTGGCCCTGGTTATTTCCCCAGTGAGAGCCTGTCGTGTTTGAAGATGCTTCTCTGACTTTCTGGGCTCAGGGTTTCTGTTAGACCTTAGAATTTTACTTGTAGAATTCTGACCTGCATTTTTCTAGATTTGCATTTGGGCTCTTTATTAAAGTTATCACTTGCCTATGACTAGAGGATGACCTGTCTGGTCTTTACAGGCACAGGAGTGACTTGGAAGCAGGTCTAGCAAGGTCCAGGAAAGAGAAACCAAGAGTAGGGTTTTGGGGGGGGGCGGTTTGAGACAGTTTCACTCTGTTGCCCTGGGGTTGAGTGCCCTGGCATCATCATAGCTCACAATGACTTCAAACTCTTGGGCTCAAGTGATCCTCCTGCCTCAGCCTCCCAAGCAGCTGGGACTATAGGTGCCTGCCACAATACCCAGCTAAGTTCCTGTTTTTAGTAGAGATGGGATCTCACTCTTGCTTATGCTGGTCTTGAACTCCTGAGCTCAAGCAGTCCACCCCGCCTCCGCCTCCCAGAGTGCCGGGATTACAGGTGTGAGCCACTACCTGGCCTTGTTTTTGTTTTAATCTAAGAATTTTACAGAATCAATATTCTGAGGCTCAGATTTAAATGAAAAATAAAACAGTTTAAAGGCAAGTGTACGGTCTAGTAGATTTAACTAATCTTGTGACTGCTCTCTGCCACCTTAGAAATATGTTCTCTCACTTAAGTACTTTCTTTTCCTGTAAATAGATTATTTCTTATCTGCCTGCTGCTGCCCCGTACATGCAGAGCCTCCCCCACTGCCAGCATCCCTCAGCAAAGTTGCACATTTATTACAACTGCTGCACCTACATCGGCCGTTATCACCCAGAGTCCATGGTTTACGTTTGAGTTCATTCTTGGCGTTGTACATTCTGTGGGTTTGGACAAACACCTGTGACATAAACCCACCATTCTGGTATCATACGGAATGGTTTCACCACCCAGAAAACCTGAACTCTGCATGTTTATCCCTCCCACCCGGCCTCCAACCCCTGGCAGCCAGCTCCCCTTTGGCTCCTCCCCGTGGTTTTGCCTTCTCCAAAAGAGATGTGTGGATGGAAGCTCACGGAGGTGCCTTTTTAGGGTGGCTTCTTTCACTTAGTCGTATGCATTTAAGGTTGCTCCACATCTTCTCATGGCTGGAGAGCTAATTTCTATCTACCATGTTTCCCCGAAAATAAGATGCTGTCTTACATTTATTTTTTCTCAAGAAGACACTAGGGCTTATTTTCGGGGGATGTCTTCCTCTCCATGCCGAAATGCATAGCCATACCCATCACTAGGTCTTATTATTGGGGTAGGGCTTATATTTAACAAAAAATTCTACTGGGGCTTATTTTTTGGGTAGGTCTTATTTTCGGGGAAACACGGTTGTGTGAGATTACATTCAATTGTCTGGATATATTTACACGTTTAAATACACTTAAAGCTCTTAGTCCTGCAGTGTCTTTTTTTCTTTCTTTTTTTAAACAGAGTCTCACTCAATTGCCCTGGGATTGAGTGCCCTGGCTTCACAGCTCATAGCAACCTCAGTCTCTTGGGCTCAAGCGATTCTCTTGCCTCAGTCTCCCAAGTAGCTGGGACTATAGGTGCCCCTCACAACATTCTGCTAATTTTTATATTTTTAGTAGAGATGGGATCTTGATCTTGCTCAGGCTGGTCTTGAACTCTTGAGCTCAAATGATCCCCCCTTCTCAGCCTCCCAGAGTGGTAGGATTACAGGTGTGAGGCCATGACTGGCAAAAGCTGAGCATCATTGTGAAACTTGGATGACAGATGGGCACGTGTTGAGGGTCACAGTGCAGAGTATGTTCAGGGGTACGGTTTGGAAGCCTCTGGTTGTTAAGTCTGTGGATTGCACCTTGTTCACTTTGACCGACTCCTGCTGTATTTGAGGCATTGCACAGTTGGGGAGAAATCATGACCCTGCCTGGGAAGAGGGAATAGTGGGCTTAGCGCCGCCCTGCCAACCCTGGGAGGGGCTTCTTTCTCCCTTCCTGTTTCTTCCCTCCCTCCTTTCCTTCCTTCCCCTTTTTCTCTTTCTATTTAAAATTCATCTGATATTCATTGGTTTTGAGTCCATTCGCAATGTTCTGTAACCATCAACTTCTACCTAGTTTCAACACACTTGCTTTAGCCCAAAATAAAATCCCATACCCATCGGGACCATGTCCCATTCCACCCTCCCCCTGGCAATCGCTCACCTGTTCCCGTCTTTCCAGCTTCACCTGTACTGGGCATTTCATGCGAATGGAGTCACATAACCCGTGGTCTTTGTGTCTGGGTCTTACTGAGCACTCACAAATGAGTCCATCCACGTTCTAATGTGTATTCCTGCTTCACTCCTTTTTGTGGCTGAATAATATTCCATTATATGGACAGAGCACAGTTTGTCCATTCATCCTGCCATGGACATTTGGGCTATTTCTACCCTTTGGCTGTCGTGAATAATGCTGTGAACGTTTGTTCATAGGTTTTTGGTTCCCTTGGGTACCTACCTGGAAATAGAATTGCTGCTGTTCTAAATTGATTCTGTTTAGCTTTTTGAGAAATTGGTGGCTTCTTAAAGAAATGTGTCCTTGGCTCCATACCTGTAGCTCAGTGGCTAGGGTGCTGGCCACACACACAGGGCTGGCAGGTTCAAACCCGGCCTTGGCCTGCCAAATGACAACAACAACAACAAAAATAGCTGGGCATTGTGGCGGATGCCTGTAGTCCCAGCTGCTCAGGAGGCTGAGGCAAGAGAATCGCTTAAGCTCAAGAGTTTGAGGTTGCTATGAGCTGTGATGCTCCAGTACTCTACTTAGGGATACATAGTGAGATTCTGTCTAAAAAAAAAAGAGAGAGGAAAAAGAATTAGTTCTTATTGCAAAACCTTGTGTCTAGCAAGGGCCTCCCATTTGGAACCCCCCTGGCCTGGAGAACTTTGCCATCTTCTGAAGGGAAAGCCATTTCCAGCAGCCTGGTGACAACAGAGCTGGATGGGAAGCAGGAGGCTGGACACCTGGGTTGACTGACCTGAGCACCACTGGCTCCTCTGCACCTGCTTGCTGAGCCTGAAGGATGCAGGGGGGTGGTGCTGCCTCTAGCACCTCTGCATGGCACCTCTGGGAAGGTACTGTGAACTCTGGTCTGCTCAGAACTCCTCAGGTGAAGGTGTGCACCTGTATGCCCCCCTTAGGTTACAACAGTGAAGGGTCAGACACTGTCCCCTCCTTTGTGAAACTGATGGTGGGGAGAGAGGGAGACATCACATGAGTAAACCTACCATTACAAACTGGGGTGGGACAAGTGCAGGAAAAGAGGGTGTCATCGTGATGGGCACCTCCTCCACTAGAATTGTGTCATTCTGATGTTTGGTCACAGTTAAGAGATGGCATTTAGGTCTGAAAGTCAGACACGTCTCCAGCTTCATTAGGAAAGTTCATTGCTGTCTGTGTTGCTGTGTCATTTAACTTGCTGTTTCTGGCGGGGTTTGGTGGCTCACTCCTGTACTCCTAGCACTCTGGGAGGCCGATACAGGTGGATCACTTGAGCTTAGAAGTTTAAGACCAGCATCTCTACTAAAAATAGAAAAATTACCTGGGTATTGTAGCAAGCATCTGTAGTCTCAGCTACTTGGGAGGCTGAGGCACTCACCGCTTGAGCCCAGGAGTTTCAGGTCGCTGTGATGGCACTCCACCCAGGGTGACAGAGTCAAATTCTGTCTCAAAAAAACAAGATAAAGAATGTGCTGTTTCTCCTTCTCTGGGTGGAATCACTGGATTTCTTCCATAGTTTTTCAAAGAATGGCAACCTCTGGAAACAATTGTTGGCTCACTGTGTCCTGATTTCCTGTTGATAACAGGAAGAGAGACTTTCCTTCAGGAAGTAGGTGGATTCCAGTGGTATGTGGCTCTGTGTACCTGCCCCCGTCAGGAGAAAATGTCAGCTCTGCCCTGAGAGTCTTTCAGGTGTTTGCGTGCTACCCCAAGGGACTGATGGTTCTGTCCCAAACCCGGCCAATTAGCAGATCCTGATTGCCCAATCCTGATCCCCCAATCCTCTGTCCAACAAGCTGTCTTTAAAAGCCCTGTCTACCCAGTTCTCAAGGAGGCGGAGTT